TTTATTTTTTTTTATTTCGTTTTTATCTTATATTTCATTTCTTACTAACTTCATTTTTTGTTTACTTTATGGTTTATTTTTTACTTTGTTTCCTCATGATCACTTTTTTATTTTTGTCTCTCATCATTTTTCACTTTATACTACTTCTCATTATTTGTCTCCCCTTATTTTCTATTACATCTTCATTTTCCATTATTTCATTTTCTCTCCTATTTACTTCCCATCATTTCTTTTGTCTTTCAATCACTTCTTTTCATTTCCATTACTTCTTTTCGTCTCCCATTACTTCTTTTGTCTTCTATCACTCCTTTTCGTCTCCCATCACTCCTTTTCGTCTCCCATCACTCTTTTTCGTCCCTCATCACTCCATTTTGTCTCTAATCACTCCTTTTTGTCTCCCATCACTCCTCTTCGTCATCCATCACTCCTTTCCATCACCCATCACTCCTCTTCGTCTCCCATCACTCCTTTTCGTCTTCCATCACTTCTTTTCGTCACCCATCACTTCTTTTCGTCACCCATCACTCCTCTTCGTCTCCTATCACTCTTTTTCACTTCTCTTCATCTACAATCACTCCTTTTAGTCTCCCATAACCCCTCTTCATCTTCCCATTACTCCTTTTCGTCTCCCATCACTCTTTTTCATCATCCATCATGTCCTATTTTCCTTTTTGTTTCCTATCACTTCTCATTACTCTTTTTTACTCCCTTTCTTCTTCTATTACTTTCCATTACTCCATTGTTATTTCATTTTTTTTATTAGCATCTTTCTCCTTGATCATTGTCATTTACTTATCTTTTTTATTTATTGTTACTGTTTTTTTTATTGTATCACTTCATTAAAAATAAATACAGTGATTTTTTTCTTTAAAATCGAAAATGTGGGACTTAATTTTAAAAAATTTCATTTAATAAGATTATTTTGAATAAATATGTTTGCAAAAAAAATTTATCTTCACAATAAAATTTTGTTTAACCGATCAAAAAATTAGCTAAGTTAAAAAAATCTATACGTTTGCCGATCAAATAAATTGCCTTAACTTTTAAGTTTAAATCAGGCACTGAATCATGCTACACAATTCAAGATTATTTATACAGACTTAATCTAAACGTTAGAAGATCGACATGTATTTTTTTATTATATTACTAGCAGTAGTCGCATCGGGTATGCAGGTATGTATATTGTAATTATATTTGATCGTCATTTTTGATCACACGTTTATCAAATTTCGATCTTTTCTAAGAAAGTGATTAAATTAATTTTGATGGAAAAAAAGGTTACAGTATGTGATATATATCAGTTATAACTTTAAGTGTAAAACGTAAAATTTAAATTTAAATAATTTCTGGAAGTCTTGGCAAATAATATATAATTTGACACAATTAAAATTTTTAATTTATAATGTGGATGGTATAATTCCGGCCAGAATTATACAAATTTACCTTTTCCTGCACATCAGTAATTAGAATGAATTTGCCGATCAAGTGGTCTTATAAACTATTAAGAATAGATCAGGCGCAAACACATTAGGCCAGTTCATAATTGTTCGATCGGCATTTTTGATCGGGTTACACTAAAATTGTGACAAATAAAATTCACCTCGAGAACGATCAACTAGCCGATTTTTTGACCCACCAAAAACGTAGATCGCTATGATCGAGTTGATAAAATAAGGGTAAAGTACGCGTAAAAACGTATACTAGACGCGTTTTTTCTTTCTTATTTCCTCTCTACCAATGGAATTTCCGAAAGATCCTTTAAACAACCCTCAAGTAAATATTTCATATAAAAATAACAAGTTACTAAGGCCTATTAAGCCTAGAAATTTATACCCTTCGCCTTCTACTGGGATTTGTGAACAAAGTAATGTGGATTTATACCAAAATCCCTTACTAACAAGACAAAGTTATGTTGCTCCTAGTTTTTATATACAAAATGGAAGCAGTTTTGGCCAAAGCTTTTCTGGGCCTAACTATTTTGAGAGAGAATCTGCAGAGTTACAAAGATATCAAAAAGAAAATGTTGTTGATGATAAAGTTTCTGATGTAGAAATTAATTATCAACAAGAAAAAGAAAAGATTAATGACGAAAAAGAATTAACAGTGAGTAAAAGTACTTTATTAATTTTTTAGTTGTAATTTATTTTATTTTAATTAAAATTAATTTAGGATGTTAACTACAAAAAGAAATCTAATAATAAGCGTAAATCTAGTAACTGTCTCTTATACACATCTAGATGTGTATAAGAGACAGCTACTAGATAGGTCCTTTTATTTCTTATCTATCCTGGCTTGGTCGGAGTTCCGGGTAGTTTTTTATAATTCTAGTAGGGATCCGCTCCAGTGATTTTTATCGTTGGTTTGGACGAAGTTCTATAATGTTTTCCGCTACTTGTATTCCTGAACATAAAAAAAATAAAAATCGTGATCTGTGTAACAATCGGACAAACACTCATGAAGTCGGAATAATAAACATTAAAAAAAAATGTCAACC